GTTTTAAGTCTGACTTTAAAATGTCAATTGTGTCAGAGCTTTTAATATGTGCCTGAACCTTGTCAATCAGAATAAACAAGGCGTGACGAGGCTATAACGTATGTAGAATCTGCCAGTGGTCTTGAATAACACGCGGCCTGTCTTTAGAATCCCCCGCCAAATAAGCGCACGGGAAATCAAACATATTTGTATCTTTTTGCTTCAGAACATTGATCACTTCATGACCCGTCCCTATTCTTAACCATGACGTTGCAATATTGTTGTACAAATGTGTTACACTATCTCGCTCGGTTGTGTTCCCATGACGACAGTGGTCAGACTGGCCTGACATTTGTAAGGCTTCAGTGCAGTGTTTGTTTACATCACAGAAATATACAAATTCATTTCATGGGGGATTTTAGGGGACGCTCACGGTGAAATGCTCGCTCTTATTTTTCACATAGAATAGGAAAGCCACCATTTTGATTTCTCTACGATTGATTTTAGCTATCCTAAGTTGGTCATGAGCAACTTAGACTTTGAATCTTAGCTTTACGATTGACTTAGGTAACATTGGTTAGTGGAACGGTATGCCGATCGTAACGTCACGCTAAGATTGGGACTTTAGGGGTTTACGATTGGCATAGGGCTAAGATCGGTTAGTGGAACGGCACCCTGGAATGGTCTCGAAACGTTGTGAGAGAAATTAAAAAAGAACTTTAATCCATAAAAATATCTTGGACATCATTAACATAGATACACCGTGTTAATCCCATTTCTGGTAAATCTCTATTACTCCTACATGCCGTTCAAAGACTCATTTTGGGTGTCACCCTTGACAATATCACGGCGGGGGACGCCAGGAATGGGCTTCACATATAGTACCCATGTGGGGAATCGAACCCGGGTCGTCGGCGTGACGAACGAAGATTTTAACCATTAGGCTACCCCACCGCCCTCACCCGCTGTGATTTGCTGGAATGTTAATGAAAGCGACGTAAAACATGCTCACTCGCAAACTCTTACAGTATTACAGTTTATTTAAACGTCCAGAAAATAGTACACGGCGTTAATGTTTCAAAATCTATACTATACATGTCATTTTAGTAACAATAAACCACTAATATAGGAAGGATATTAGAAGCATATGTCATATGACAGGGTTGTAATATACGATGACGTTACAGGCGCTGATATGCCGATGACGTTACAGGCACTGATATAACGACAACGTTACAAGTACTGATATACCAACAACGTTACAAGCACTGATGTAGATACGTTACAAACACTGAGATAACGGTGACGTTACAAGCACTGATATAGCGACGACGTTAGAAGTTACCGATATAGATACGACGTTACAAACACTGAGATAACCACTACGTTACAAGCACTGATATAATGGTAACGTTACAAGTACTGGTATAGCGATGACGTTACAAGTAATGATATAATGGTGACGTTACAAGTACTGATATAATGGTGACGTTACAAGTACTGGTATAGCGATGACGTTAAAAGCACTGATATAGCGACGACGTTACACGTACTGATATAGCGACGACGTTACAAGTAGTGGCATAGCGACGACGTTAGAAGTAACTGATATAGATATGACGTTAAAAACACTGAGATAGCGACGACGTTACAAGCACTGATATAACGGTGACGTTGCAAGCACTGAGATAGCGACGACGTTACAAACACTGATATAATGGTGACGTTGCAAGCACTGATATAATGGTGACGTTACAAGCACTGATATGGCTATGACGTTACAAGCACTGATATTATGGTGACGTTACAACACTGATATAATGGTGATGTTACATGCACTGGTATAATGGTGACGTTACATCCACTGATATAATGGTGACGCTACAAGCACTGATATAATGGTGATGTTATATGCACTGATATAATGGTGACGTTACAAGCACTGATATAATGGTGATGTTACAAGCACTGATATAATGGTGACGTTACAAGCACTGATATAATGGTGACGTTACAAGCACTGATATAATGATGACGTTACAAGCACTGATATAATGGTGACGCTACAAGCACTGATATAATTGTGACGCTACAAGCACTGATATAATGGTGACCCTACAAGCACTGATATAATGGTGACGTTACAAGCACTGATATAATGGTGACGTTACAAGCATTCATACAACGGTGACGTTACAAGCACTGATATAATGGTGACGTTACAAGCACTGATATAGCTATGACGTTACAAGCACTGATATAACTGTGACGTTACAAGCACAGATATAATGGTGACGTTACAAGCACTGATATAATGGTGATGTTATATGCACTGATATAACGGTGACGTTACAAGCACTGATATAATGGTGATGTTACATGCACTGATATAACTGCGACGTTACAAACATTCATACAACGGTGACGTTACAAGCACTGATATGATGGTGATGTTACATGCACTGATATAATGGTGACGTTAGAAGCACTGATATAATGGTGACGTTAGAAGCACTGATATAATGGTGACGTTACAAGCACTGATATAATGGTGACGTTACAAGCACTGATATAATGGTGACGTTACAAGCATTCATACAACGGTGACGTTACAAGCACTGATATAGCTATGGCGTTACAAGCACTGATATGTTGGTGACGTACATGCACTGATATAATGGTGACGTTACAAGCACTGATATAATGGTGACGTTACAAGCACTGATATAGCTATGACGTTACAAGCACTGATATGACGGTGATGTTACAAGCACTGATATGACGGTGACGTTATAAGCACTGATATAACAGTATCATCATAAGCACTGACATAACGGTGTCGTTACAAGCAGCGATATAGCGGTGACGTTACAAGCACTGATACAACTAGCACTGAGATAACAAGAACATTATAGGCATTGAGATATCAGGAACAAAACAAGCACTGATGTCAGAGAAGCATTGCAAGCATTGTTATAACATTGACATTACAAGCGCTGATACAACCATGATAACGCAAGCGTTTTTCTACACTAATGGCATTCCTGGCACTGTTATAATAATATCATTACAAGCACTGATACTTGTCACTTCATTGGCATCAGTAGAGTTGACTTCAACATCCAGTTTATGATGTGCATTGTACAAATGCTGAATACGTCACGAGGACATTATAATCAGTTATTTAATGTACTGACACAATGTATGACTTTGTTTATTATGTTATAAATACCAAATATGATACATAGATATTAATGGACATACCGAGCATACACGCGTTCATCTAATGCATTGGCAATGTATGTTTTGTTATATGATAAATACCAAAGACGTTTTAAACTGAATATATATTAATTAAGAAATACACTTCGCTCTACCACCATGTATAGTGTAATAAAACATACTTTTGCCCTGAACTATTATAGTTCAACGTTTAACGTTATAATAGTTCAGGGCGAAAGTGTGTTTTATTACACTATACATGGTGGTAGGGCGAAGTGTATTTCTTTTCTAAGATGCCAAATTTAATACTTTCAAAAGATAATTACGATTAATTTAAGGCAGAAAACAAACGACGGTGTCGGTGACCTAAATTAAGAATCCTCGCACAGGGCTAACTGGCGCGCTGTTCTATTGATGTGTCTGCCCCCTACGTTAAGACGAACGTTACCAGAAAAAAACAAATGATAACAGCTTGATGACGGTTTACGTTCGGATTAAATATCTTCTCTGAATTATTTTAATTACATCTGTCATTAACGTAAACCATATGGGGCAATATGAACGTTGCATTTCTACTACCAGCGTAAGTTTAGATCAGTACATCCAGAGGAAGTTGAGTAGTCAAGCGACATTCCACGAATGCATTGTGGGAATGTAAACATTACGAACGTTACCTTGTCGCTGAAAACTTGTGAGTCGAAATGACACATTTTAACCGTCGTGAAACATAAACGTAATGTTTCCACCAGTGATGTTAGCTGCGTGAAGCAACAGCAAACCAAGAAACTGGATGCAACGGTGTAGTTTACTGTAGGAGGCCGTACGAGGCGATGACAACTGACATGCATCGTGACGTCGCTTACATTGTGACGTAATGTAAAATGGTTCGATTACGAGGGGGCACACTAGAATGGCGAAGTGACGGGATAACGTCATTCAATTGTTACGTCATCAAAAAACTATACCTTTATTGTCTGATAATGTATTTTTTTTTCGATTGTTCTAACCGCTAGGCATCTTAGAATGCATATAACAAGCTTAAGGCTTTTACAAGCACTGATCTAATGCATTGACGCAATGCTTACTGATCGTATAAGTACCAAATACGTTTTAAACAACACAGATATCAACGGATATAACGAGGATATCACGCGTACTGTTATATATACTGTATTAACACAATTTACATAGTTGACATTGTCCTTGGCAAAAAATATTCCGCAAGAAATGGCCTCTGGCCTCCAATATTACACTGTATATGATAACGGAATGATGATACTTACTGCTGGGCAATTAATGCACCACTACACAATACAAACGTTAGTCAATGTCCCGCAAATTTCACGCACGGAGAACAAGCAATACATATTTGAAAGTTGTACGAATGCCACATTACAGGACACGTAAACGCAACACCAAAAACATTTTTCATTAAATACATCCAAATAATTATACATGTACTCACTCTTAAGATTTGTTGAAAACTTCAATTATGAAAAGTACAGCTTCACTTCAGATGTGTTTAGCTGGCTTGAAATAATCATAAACTTAGTTACGTACGGACTGTCTTATAATTTCATGGATTTCGGCCTGGCGGAGTCTTCCCAGATATTCCCGACAGAAAATACTCATAATGGCTTCTCGGAACGGCCGGTAGGTGACGCTGTATATGAAAACATTCCATAGACTGTTAGAAAAAAACCCAACCATCCCTACTTGAAGCAGCCACTGGGGTATAGCGTCCTTGTTAAACACAATATTCCAGAAGACACACATAATGATAGGGATATAAGACAGACCCATCACCATCATTCTTAGAGTGACCATGTGAGGGAACTTAACACCTTGGCGCAGACCCCCCTCGGGGAATATGAGACGTCCGCGTCTTAGTTTCCTGAACATCCCCACCGATAGGACCATCAGTGCACACAAGAGAATGAAGGGAGAGATGGAGGCAATGACCGCTGGGAGAGTGTTAAAGTCCGTCACACACACCGCTACGATGGGGTTGTAGTAATAGTCCCTGTCTGGGAAGGCTATAACTGCCATTCTGCACAGCGATATGACGACTGACACCACGAAGACGACATACAACTTCTTGCTAGTGACAATACGTACATATGCCAGAGGCTTGTTCACGGCGATATAGCGGTCTACAACGGCTATTGCAATATTCAGTGCATTCTGTCCGGCGAGGATTATAAACAACATGGCCACCATTCCGATACAGGAATCAGAGTATGCAAATGAATCAAGAAAGGCTGAAGGCATGGCAAATATGAAAAAGTGCAGTCCCATAAGAAAGTCACAACAGGCCATGAAGTTCAGAATGAGCAGAGTCGGTAGGTGAAGGTGACGGATCTTTGTCAAGACGAATACGATGATGCCGTTGGTTATCATCACCAACATTGACAGAAGCAGATAAACCACTGCAAGCGGTGTGTTGACACTTGACGAAATTTGAGTTACATTTGCCGTGGTCCTGTCATATCCCACAGTGGTCATGTCGGACGTTGAAGATTCCGTCGACATCTCGTCTGTCTGAAGCAGCACTACTTTTATTCGAAAGCCTATTCTAATCTACCGACACATATGTTTTATGTTTCCGGGGAAAGCCTGGCATGACAGGCAATTATTTTCCCATGGTTTCTTGCGTGCGTTCCACAATCAGTCATGTCAGTCTGCCAATGAAAAACGACGTCAGTTAGCACATGTAACTAAGGCAACAGATGTTAACACGTCTTAAAACAACTCGTGACATCGAATTCGTTAAGAAATAAATGGGTTTATCGTGTAATGTTTCAAACATTTCGCTTTCAATCAAAGAAAATGATAGACATTTAGATGCTGTTAGATGCACCTTCATCATTATAAGATCAGCTCCCCGTTCAGCGAAACATTTTCTGAGCTATAAATCACTTGTTCTTTACACTAGTTACGTCATTATTCGTAGCACTGGTCTATAAGTAGAACTGGTTTCACGTTTCATTGAGTCATGAATCGAAAACCCGATGAGCACACTATGAATCGGCGTAGAGGATATTTACAAAGTTTGCGTGTCGGTCTTTCGATTCAAAATTTTGATTAACCGAACACAATACACAGTCAATCCTTATAAATAGAATGGACACGAAAATATGAAATAAAAAATAGTTCATCAAGAACGATCGTATAAATTACAGTAGACAAAAATTACGAAACTGACAAACATGGAAGGCAAAGGAATACGTGTTGTGGAGTGACGTCATCAGGTGACTGTTAAACTTAATCACATAACTAAACACGCGTACTAATTCAGTAGCCAGTCAGTGGATCTAGCATCAAAAACAAAGTTCACAGGTCATTTCTTTGATTGGCATTCAAGAAGTTGAGGAGATGAAGAATGAGGACCAGTTTTATGGGGTGATCGGAAAAAAGTAACAGGGAAAAAAGATACGGAAAAAAGTAACAGATTTTGCTAGGAAAAAAAGTAACAGGAAAACAAGAAACACTTTTTCAGTAGTTTGTTTTTAATTTATTAACAAAGTATAACAAAACAATTACAAGCACATTTTTGAATCCATAAACAATGTTCTCAGTTCTCAGTTCTAACTTAATGTAGGTGAGAAGGACAATCGAGGAAATTGCTCAGTGGAGTGAGTGAGTGAGTTTAGTTTTACGCCACACTCAGCAATATTCCAGCTATATGGCGGTGGTCTGTACATAATCGAGTCTAGACCAGACAATCCAGTGATCAACAGGATGAGCATCGATCTGCGCAATAGAGAACCGATGACATGTGTCAACCAAGCCAGCGAGCCTGACCACCCAAACCCGTTATTGGCATGAGTATAATAAGATGACATGTAATAATATGAATAACATGAGAAACATCTTGCAGAATAACTATGATATAATAGAGATACAAACATACATCATCAGCAAGTCATTATACATTTACAACCTGGAAAGTGCATCAGCACAAACATTGCCTTTAATGTGCCTAATCACAAGATTGAACCCTTGCAAGGTTAAACTCCACCTCATAAGTCTTTGATTCTTGTTCTTCATTTTGTGAAGAAAAGTCAAGGGATGGTGATCAGTAAACACTTCAATTGGAGAAGTAGTGGTACCTAGGTACACTTCAAAATGCTGCAACGCTAGCAACAGACCTAATGTTTCTTTCTCAATGGTAAAATAATTTCTTTGATGCTTGTCAAACTTCTTGGAAAAATAACAAACTGGGTGATCAATTCCTGAATCCTCCTCTTGAATCAGGACCACACCTGCACCTACATCACTTGCATCAATTTGTAACTTAAATGCTTTCTCAAACTTTGGTGCCCGCAATACTGGAGAATTCATGAATATGGCTTTGACTTTTTCAAATGTAGTCTGCTAACTGCTATCCCACTGGAAGTTTACCTTTTCCCTCAAAGGTTGGTAAGTAGTGATACAACATCTGTGAAATTTTGACAAAACTTTCTATAATAGCCTGCCATACCCAAGAATCTCATGAGTTCTCTCTTAGACTGAGGTACTGGAAAATGTACAATTGCTTCAACCTTAGCATAAACTGGCTGTACCTGGCCGTGCCCTACAACATGCCCTAAAATTCAACTTGTGCCTTCCCAAATTCACACTTTGCAAGCTTCACAGTCAATTTTACTTCAGACAGTCTTTTGAAGAAAGCACGAGTTCCCTTCAGATGGTCTTCCCACTCCACTCCATCACTTTGTATTGATACAGTCCATCTGGTGTAGTGAATGCCGATTTTTTTCTTTGCAGGTCTGTGAGTGGAACTTGCCAGAAGCCCTTCAATATGTCAAACTTACTTATATATCTAGCTTGACCAATGCGATCAATGCAATCGTCCACTCTCGGTATTGGATAAGAATCAGTTCGTGAGAGTGCATTGACAGCCTTCATGTCAGCACAGCAGCGCCAACAACCTCCACCACTCTTCGGCACAAGAACACATTGTGAACTCCACGGACTGTCACTGGGTTCAATAATGTCATTGTCCAGCATGTATTTCACTTCTTTCCGCAGAATCTCACGTTTCACAGGATTCATACGATGTGGATGTTGTTTTACAGGCACATGATCACCGACATCTTTATCATGGCTAACAACATTAGTTCGTCCAGGCACATCAGAAAATAAGTGAGAGAACTCATGAATCAAATCTGACATTTAAACTTTCTGCTCAGGGGATAAATGTGATAGTTTCTCATCAAGGTGAGCTAACACATCAGAATTTTTCTTAACTTTTGGTGAAACATTATCACTAAGGTCAGCAAACTTTACATTGTTAACACCATCATAAATATTGTCAACCTGTTCACCATTGTCTTTAATAAAATCAATAACTGGAGAGAGTGTGGCAATACAATTGACCTGTTTGGTTTCTAACATACATACTGACTGACTGACTGAGTTTAGTTTTACGCCGCTTTTAGCAATATTCCAGCAATATCACGGCGGGGGACACCATAAATGGGCTTAACACATTGTGCCCATGTGGGGAATCGAACCCGGGCCTTCGGCGTGACGAGCCAACGCTTTAACCACTAGGCTACCCCACCGCCCCTCACACACACACACACACACACACACACACACACACACACACACACACACACACACACACACACACACACACACACACACACACACACACACACACACACACACACACACACACACACACACACATGCTAACATTTGTATAGCGCCGATATCCAGCTCAGCTCAGCTGCTCAAAGGCGCTTTGTTTTTCCCTCGTTCACTCGGTGTCAATGTCAACGGCACATCGAATTGTCAATCTCAACTCCCTGGGGATCATACAACTCTTGCAGCCACTAGGCGCACCAAGTTATTGTGGCATTCCCATCCTTACGAGGTACCCATTCACAGCTGGGATGACTGGGACACATAGTCACAGTACTTTGTCCAAGTTTACTGCACTTTGCTGTACCCGCAACTGGGTGTTTGCACGTATTCATGTGGCCACCATCTGGTCATATACCAACGGATTCGTGGGTTCTTTGAAGTGCACAGGGTTGTGTACTGTACACTAGGGGTTGTGACAACACTGAAAGAGTCTGCACACAAAGTTGACTTCAAGGTTTTTACACCCGGTCACAGGTGGGCTCGATCCCATCACCTCAAGCTCGCTGGGTCACTAGCCTGGCGCTTTAGCCAGTTCGCCCGCCTGTCATGGCATTTCCCAATGATGTTGACATGACACAATCTCTTTTGCTTACGACGGCCAGACGGAAATTTCTCTTTCGACTTTCTGTCATAGTTTTGTTTCATTTTTTATTGTGAAACTTTCAAATTTTCACATGCTTTTGAAAGTCTGGTCCGAAATGTAGTCACATAGTCCAAAATATTGATCTCAGGATAGTGATTGAGCCATTTTTCTTTTAGATGCTTTAGTGGCCTGCGCACACAATGACCAAATAATAGCTCAAAGGGGCCAAACCCTAAATTTCCTGAACTGACTCCCTGACAGCAAACAACAACAAATGCACACCTCATGCACACCTTCAAAGTTTGATGAAACCTCTCTAAAGCTCCCTGTGACTCCGGATGATAAGCACTATACTTAACGTGCTTAATACTTGCTTAATAACCAACTGCTACATAGCTTGTTGAAACACCTTAGACATAAAATTTGAGCCCTGGTCTGACTGAGCAGCATCTGGCAAACCAACCCTGGTGAAAAATGTGATCAAAGCCTTGACAATCACAGGGACAACAATCCTACGAAGAGGAATTGCTTCAGGAAATCTGGTAGAAGCATACATGATAGTGAGAAGATACTGATTACCAGACTTAGTCTTAGGTAGTGGACCAACACAATCAATAATAACTCTACGAAAAGGTTTGAAGTTAAAAAGCTGTCTTCAGAATAAATGAAATGATGAGTTTTCGAAAAAGTTGTTTGAGCTTACAATTTCGACTCTTAAAAATCAGGGGAAAATATTATTTAAAGGTGTCAAATAACACAACTTAATATTAATTAAATCCTTTTAATCATGTTAGCACTATTTGTACCTCCCTATTTTCATTTCCAACCTATTTGCTAAACTTTACTCACAATTAATGCTTGGAATTGACGTTTTTTGAAAATGTTGGGGTTATTTGGCGGCCATCTTGGATTTAGCCTCGTTCTAAGTTTCAGCTACCAAACCGACATGGCCATCATACTTTTTTAATATGTAGAGACCATAACAACTTCAAAAACATAAAAGTGTTTGGTCCCTCTGGGTGGTACCGAAAAATTGTCTGGCTCATGGCCTATATATTTCCTCATCAGAACACCATGCTTGAAGTAATAACAAACTGGAACCTTGCTCACAGGGGGTAAGCCCTGTCTATGCTCAACCGGCAGTTGGTCGTCATCAACTACCATTTCCCAAACTTCGTAAGATTTTGAAATTTCCAAGAAGTAAATGTTTACGAAATCGACTTGTCTTATAAGCTGAATGGTCATGGATTATAACCATCATCTGGTCATGACACATTATATTTCGTTTACATTTGAATCATTTCTTTACACGTCTTTCGGCGCGAATCAGAAAAGCCGAGAAATCGACCACTTTCGTCGTCTTTACAACATAATTAATTGAATTCATTTCACGTATTGTGTATTTTAGGCTAAATGAGGTTATGTAGCCAGTGTGTCAAGATTTTAGCTTCTGTCAAAACATACAAACTAAGATATTAACGAAAACCATAACTGTACGCGCCGATGGTAGTTGCCCATGTAAACAAATCAACTGTACGGGTTGTTGAAAAGGTACTGTACGTGTAATAGGGCGAAATAAAAGCATTTATATTAACTCCATGTGTTGCGTTAGTTTTATCAAAATGTATATACATCTGTGTTGTTTGGGGTTCAACGGAGGTTCATTGCGTTCACAATGAGCAGTTGTCGGCAAGTAGTGTTTTAAGTACTTGATGCAGGTCTCTGATTGTTTTGGATCATTCCATTACAAGGTCATAGGGCAATTAGGTTATTCTATCTTTCTGTCATTGATATGATTGTAATGATCACCTGATTGATTGGAACTAGCTGATTTCAAATCATAGGTCATCAGCCATTTTTTCACTTACACAGCACTTGTCACCCTCACCTGATAAGCTCAGCACTTCAAAATAGTTAATACGCTACTTCTAAGCTTAGTAATTATAGTACATTATTGCTTTATGTTTTTAATAATGCATAAATAACATAAACAAGTATCATAAGTAAGCATTTTCAGTAAAGTATTTGATAGTGTAATTAGCCAATGTATGAATACCCTTATACAAGAATGTGTGTATGAGTGATGATTTTATACATAACTCTATATTACAAGTTTGATTGGAAAGTCCGGTCACGTGATATGCAAATTAGCCTGTGGCAGTGATGTTATGTTAGTCATCGCTGTGCCGGAGTGTGTGGGAATCTTTGTGATGATATTTAGTTTGATTGTCTGATTGGATCATCTGTTTCAATAAGATGATACCTCGTGGTGTCTGTGGTTGTCATTGCGTTCTGAGTGCCGAACATGTGAGGCCAAGCCAGAGCTGTCACCAGGTTAGTTTATATTTGGTTGTACAAATGCTTCATAAAGTTGTCAGGTTATAAAGTATTATAAATGTTCTAGGCTAAAAACGTCTATTCAAGCATTCTTTAATATTAAAAATGTAAACGTTATGCTTAGCTACACCGGTTTAGGCTTTAAAATATTCACACCTAATGTTGTATTATATTATCTTATTCCCTCCTAAATACTTTTCAAGTTATCTAGTGTGTAGAATGTGCGCACTGTGATAGTGGCTGCTGGGAGTGAGATGTGCATGGCATGTGTTAGCTGTGGATGCGTGTCGTATATGTACAATTGACCATTTTGTGCTACTAAGGTTATTCATCACGTTGCCGTCGGGCAGGGAGATAACGGAGTTGCTTTGTCTTATAGACGGTTGAGCTAATTTTGAATATGAACATACCTGTTATATTGAGTTCCTATTACAAACCCACTGTCGTTATTGAAGTGAAATAATTCAAAGGGAAAACTGTTCGTTATTAATGTATTTGTTTATTGTTAAAATGTGATCATGCGTTACATGTTTTTCAGTTGCCTCCCTTCTTTTCTCATGTACTGATGAATCTGTGATACCACTGTGATACAATGCAATGTATTTATAATGAAATGTTTACAGGGTATTTTTCTTCTGCTCGAATAAACGGATTCATAACCCACAGCGAGTAGTGTTTTCTCGGCGTGAGCTGTTACAAATGGAGCCCCCAGTGAGGAATTAAACCAGTGAGGCACGACATGTCAACGTTGGACCTATATGAATCTCAACGAGGGACCTTTCGTGACAAGAAGCGTCCCTATTCTTCGTTGGAAACGAGCCTCGGCAAGTCTGTGACATCGTTCAGTATTCGTTCATAGGACATGGGGTCAAGGTCGTATTCATCATTGACATTTCAATATAATTTGTGTGACTTAACTCTGCTTACATGATTACATTCCATGACCACATTGTTGCGTTATCATAATGATTCACAAGTGCGCTATTCATGGACATCGGCCTCAGAATGCATTTATTTTATATAATTGACTTGTAATATTTACTTGTGACTTTACACGTTGATCATCGGCTATATATACCTTGTCCCCACAGTCTCTACAGCGGTAAAGGGCATTGTGATAGCATATTCCTTTGAGATGGGATAAGCCTTGGGGTTGACTTTGTCGACTTCGATTTGGTCGCCTTAGGAACTTGACTTTATCGACTTGAGATAAAGTGGTCTTTTGTCTTTGGTTTTTTTTACATTGACCTGGTGTATACCACTGATTGTTATAATTGCCCCACAAGAAGATGATGACGTCACATGTAAACAATTACGTCTCATTTTAGATTGAATCACTTGATTGAATTATGCGATTGAATTATTTGATTTATTTTTTACTTTGATATTGTTTGAGAGAAGGGAGATAAGTAGTATATACTTGAGTTTTCTGTTACGTTTTTTGTAAACATGACTTTGTGAGTTTGTGTATATACATGTAAATCTGGAAGTTGTTGTAGTGTGTGGTATGATGCATAGAAGTGTGGAAGATTGGCTGTTGAGTGATAAGAAATTATACCAAACCCTAATAACTAGGTAATAATATCAGCATATTACCACCAATAAATCATAAACGCATGCATAACTAAGTCTCAGTTTACAACTAGGAACTAGTGGCACTATTAGGTACACGTGTGGCTTGACTAGGTATTCCTATTGTAATACAGGGTAGACGCCGCTATTAGGTACACTTGTGGCTTGACTAGGTATTCCTATTGTAATACAGGGTAGACGCGCAGTCTTATGGTGTTGATAGTTCTATTCGTATAGGAGTTTTTTTGTTCTTGTTGACTCAGACAATTTATTGTTGTGAATTTAAAGGGTTGTTTGTTTCTTAGTTTTGATAAACACACTGCATTAATACTAACACGTTTTGATACGGTCGTTCGCGTTGTGTACACTGCGTGGTAAGTGATACTGTCTCGCGGTAGTTAACAGCTCGGTGATGTTTTCGCGTTTGCTCCGTTGACGCTCCAGATTTTTTTTTGTGCATTACGTTTTGTGTTCTTATTGATTTTGTGTCCTGTGTTCTTTTACATGTAAAACATTTACCCTTATGTTGACTCTGGATTAGTTTCAAATTAGTTGTTACCCAAATATGGCCGAACAAAATCCAACGGGTGACTATGACTACAGCATCCTTATAGAGACTCTTAAAGGTATGGGAATAACCCCTAAGGCAGATAGTCCCGAGGATCTGAGACAATGGATAATGTCTTATCTTAATTCACCAGGAACACTACCGGAGTCAGTTCTGGTGAAGGCTGAGAATGACAATGAATCGAAACAGTCTTTGCCAACTGCAGATGCAGATACTGTTCACTTGACAGATGCTTTAGCTAACATCACTCAAGCCACGGTTATCTACGTTCCTAGGTGAACAGGGAAAGGGAGAAGCTACTTATGAGGTCTGGAGATATGAAGTTGATTGTTTTCTGAATAAATCAAAGTATCCTCAACATGTTCTGGTTCAGGCTATCCGTAGATCACTTAAGGGCGATGCGGCCAAGGTTGCTTCCTTTTCCGGTGCTGATGCTAGCATTGATATTGTTCTTGCAAAGCTTGTGTATATGGAATCTGTGAGGAACCCGACTCCTTGAAAGCCAATTTTTACAGTTCTAGACAGAAACCCGACGAATGCGTTATATCTCGGTCTTGTGTGGAAGAACTCGTGGAGCCAAAGCAAGTGTAAGCCAGATAGATAAGGATCTTAGGAGTGTATTTTGGCAGGGACTATTACCTCAGTGCAAGGATGTTTCCGTCTATCAACATGAAACCATACAGGATTTTGGAGAGTTAACCAAAGCTATCAGACGCAGAGTGAACAACAGCAACGGAAATTTGAAATGTCTTGCAGGCAAGCGACAACTTGTAAGATGGCTACTACACCAAGTGAATCTTCTGACATTAAAGAACTCACAGGAATGGTAAAAAGACTTTCTGCTGACGTCAGCTCTTTAAAGAAGCAGGTGAAACAACAACATACCAATCCCAAGTGGACTCCGAAATTTGTACCACCTTGTACATCAAACTCTCGAGGCCCTAGTATGGTGATCTACCTTCAGTTGTTGGCAATCGATAGCCTTTTTTTACATTGTCTTGTCATTTCTAGCTAACATGTTTTAGATTTCATCACTAGTTTTAACTGGATTTCTGTGATATACTATAGTAGTTTTACTGTTCTTCGTCAACAGGTTTTAATTTCTAATTTATTGATATATGATATAATCATTAATTGTTCTCGTCACGAAATGGCTGAAATATTGCCAATGTGACGATAAATATTAACTCACTCACTCATTCTTTCCGGGGTGTTCTCAGTTAGCTAAAATCTATTTATTTATTTATTTACGGGGATGGGGTGGGGGATTAAGGAATTAGGGCTGGGGGATTATAGTCTGTTTCTATGACTTGAGTGACAGGATGAAAAAGTATAATTTATATTTACATTCAACACAAATGTACTGCACTAGCATTGTATACAGTACATTCGCACTATACTCAGAAGTAAAAGTAATTGTGATATGGAAATGTTTCATGTGTAATGACATGACGTATTTTTAAAATTTGAACCAGTGAAAGAGGATGTTAAATAGTCACAGATGTTTTTGGACACCAGAAACAAACTTCACACATATTTCTAGTGTTGGACGTCGAACCCGGGCTTTCTGAATAAAAGGTGTTAGATCACTGACTGCATCCAGGACGAAATACACAGGAAGACAAAAACAAAAAGTTATATCATCCTTTTAATGCTTTCATGTATAAAATGTTACATTAATAGAACGCACGTCTAAGTACAAACAACAACCTGCAGTGTAGTTATATATACTCAGTGAGTCTGTCAGAAAGGGACTGCTTCACAAGAATTCACATCATTATCAGCGTGCACTCTCTTCCTAGCAACTGACAAAGAAATCCATCGAGACAGATACCTGATGAGTTAAGTGTTAAGCCAGTGTATACATGCATGCGTAGCTGACACACAGTGCAGCCATTGTCGACACACTGTTTTGAAAACAAAACACTGGTGATTCTGTTCTGTTTAGGCAAAGTGATTACGCCCTGTGTTATGAACCTTCACAGTCAGTTGCCCACCCTCCCTATTGGTATCTTTGACTGTCAGTTGCCCACCCTCCCTACTGGTATCTTTGACTGTCACCTTACCTACTGTTAACCTTTACTGTATGTTGCCCACCTTTCATGTTGTTTTCCTTGACTGCCTGATGCACCACTTTCTGTTGTTTTCCTTGACTGTCAGTTGTTCCCCTTGCCTGTTGTTATCCCTGACTGCCTGATGCACCCCTTTCTGTTGTTATCCTTGACTGTCTGTTGCACCCCTTGCTGTTGTTATCCCTGACTGCCTGATGCACCCCTTTCTGTTGTTATCCCTGACTGCCTGATGCACCCCTTGCTGTTGTTATCCCTGACTGCCTGATGCACCCCTTTCTGTTGTTATCTTTGACTGTCGCGCTGTTGTAATACTTGTCTTTCTGACGTGTTTGTTGTAGTGCCCTTGGCATATTTGCGCCTACCCCTGTCTCATTAATAGTAAACTTCGACAGTTTTCAATGATGGTTGTGCCTTTGGTGGTATGTTTCCTTTGACTGCTTGCGACGACCTATGGCTGTTTTATTGTGCAGTCCTGTGGCGCCCTTGAATGTGTTCTCGTTGAAGTTGCGATGAAGCAGTTCGACTGTATTCTGTCGTCTGTTGTTGTTTCCGGTCGTTTCTTGTTATTTTGACACTGTTTTTGTGTGTGACTTCGTTTGCAATGTGTTGTGTTCTATCTCCACAGCATGCTCATTGGGCCGTACATAAAGAAATAATGAAGCAGAACAACATAAAGCAACATGGTTGGAACTACAGTCAGGATCATTCCAAACAGACGCTGGATATAGGAGCGAGTGTATCCAATCCAAAACGTAATTCTTCCTACCACAAATAGAAAGACAAGAACCGGTATCACTTTCATCTGCCGATCGTCAAGGTACATTGAGATCATGAGCTGCCCAACTGCACTCAACACAAACTGCTCCAAAGTGTTGTGAACGTATCGAACATGCACCGTGACAATGTGATCGTTGCCAGAGTTTAAGGGATTAATGGCGGGTGTAAAGAATCTCGTCAAAGCAACAGTTGCAATTCCTGCAAACAGAAGATACGCAGGAACCACCTGCCACTGCAGCGTGTAAAGCAAACGTGCAATGGGTGTAGAGAGAGCTGGAACCGGAAATGGCATGACGTAATATCCGGTCACATAACAGACTACCATGAATCCTACACTGACACATCCTTGCTTTATCACGCTTAGTCTCTCTTCCGGGTTCGACTCCTTGGGTCTCAGTGATGTATAAGCACTCATCTTCTGCGGTGTGGCGATTTTTGTTGAGATCTCTCATCCACGCAATATCTCACTTGTTACTGTTAAAGCTATAACGGCAAAGTTATTACCAACGGAGATTTTCGATATTCAACCTTATGTCTTCTTCACTGTAGTTGTAAAACTGCAAGACGCTCTCGTCGAGTGTTTCAACAAGAACACGTATTAGCGCGAATAATGATACAAAATATGGAATGACGTTCAACCATGTACCATCTACATGCAGTGTGACGGTGATAGTGCCTTCTACGAATATTTGTTGTACTATTTGTAAACCTTGATGTCCCCGAGAGATTTCCATAGCGGAATGAACTTTGTTCTTCAGTCATTATCGCTGAATGAGTCATCAGGGAGATTTGAACCCTCGACACAATAGACACAATAGCGCCGGTGTAGAGGGTCAGTTCCGCTATCTATACATTGTGTATAGTCTGGAGCCCTGCATTTAGCCTATCTACTTTAAAATGACATTTCACTCAGCCAGTGCACGTTGTTACGTTATGTTCTATGCATATGGACATTTACAAAAGTTACAGTGAAATCGGCATACTTCCTGTTGATACCCCTGATGGTTGACAATAGATGATTGCATTCACTTTGTTTTACCGTGAGTTCAGCAACACTAGCTGTTACGATCCGCGCTTGTTTCATGGCGCACTATTCCAGCTGCATGACCGTGGCCTATAAACAGTAGAATTTCGATCATACAACCCAGGGATTGATGTTATGAGCATGATCTCGGGGTCAGTGGTATGCCACCAACCAAATGATCTAGTCTAAAATCGAGATCTATTATGTCGCATTTTACGACCAGGATAGAAAGAGACTCACCCAAGTGCCTACTGATATCAATTATATCAACACGAGTTGATAACTAAAAGTTACAAATGTGTTTATTTTTATCAACGAGTGTTGATATATTTGATATAAGAAGACACGAGGGTGTGATTCTATTCATCATCCAAAATCACTCTTCATTTAGTTTTCAATGAAAAATGTACAGCTCTGAATACGGTACTGTCATTAGACTTGCAGTGCAGCGATGTCATGGTATTGTGATGTCATCAAGTTTTCACGTCATAGCATTGTGAGTCATGTAATTGATGATGTACAAAATCTACTGTCTGAACGATATCTTCTATTAGGGTAACGCTATTTTTCAGGGCGTCTTTCATTAGCTGCCCGACGAAGGAGGCTTCTGCAAATGATAATGCCCTGAAAAATAGCGTTACCGTTATTATAGCTAAAATGGATAGAATTTCTAATAATATAAGAATAAAAACAACGGCATCGGTTTTGAAACATTTATTGCTAAAACGACGGAGGTCACTGACACACAAATATGGAAACGTCATAGAACAAAATTGGTGACGTCACTATTGAGAGTGACGACATTCGACCTTGACCTTTGCCCATACTACCAGCCGCCATTTTTTTCAGTGCTCAACAACGTTAGAGTTCCAGTCGATGTTTTCATTGCTGTATGTTGTAATTTATGGTACAATTGTTATGGTTGACACCGGCAAGAAAGTGCATAAAGGCACAGGTACATGTGACGACTGTGAGTCAGAAATTTCGTCAATAATGAACCCAAGTCAGAGGTACAGATAAGCTGCGCATCTGCGTAAATTATTTATGTGAAAACTCAATTCCTATTGAGTGTATTGCGTACAAGTACGCTTGAATTTTGGTAAATACTCAATAAATGTGATCTTACATGCGTACACACAAAAATGTCAAATCTTAGTTTGCGTGCCGATGCATATACTGAGGTATATTGAGACGTTCTATTTCAGGACATGAACTTGACAACTTGCAGTCTTTCTTATCGTTTATAGATCACACATAAATAACAAACATAACAATTAAACTTTATTATATTTTTAAAATTAATGGAAAATGGCAAAATACCCAGTTGGGTGTGAGTGAGGTGAGTACAATTTATTTGGTTACTCAAAGGAAAATTAGGATACCCAAATGAGATGAACACAAGCGAGTACATAACTCAATGACCCAAAACGTTATCTGTAGCTCTGCAAGTTCAAACGAGCCGTAGGTGATTGAGCATTAACAGCTGAGCTACTTATGACGTCACCTAACAACGGGCTTGATAATGACCCGTCGTCAAGCAATTTGCGGGCATTATCAAGTTTTATAGCTAAAATACATGGAATTATCATGAAATGGCCCTCCCATTATCAGAAATTTGCGGGCCGCTGCAAATGATATTGGACCGCTCAACCTTAACGACGGGCCACTATCAGTTCTGTTGTCAAGTGACGTCATAGTGGGTGCGTGGGCTTACGGTTCATTCGACATTAATTGGCTTTCGACTGGCAGATTTTCTGGGTCAAACAAGTCAAAGCAACCCGAATTCCCGCTTTAAATAGCGGTAATATTGGCTTTCTTGTTTGTGCTAACCTTAACAATTGCACTATTAAGGCTGTTGAAGGACCAAAACCGAACACTGACATAGTTTGACATGTTGCAGGCTATGGTCTTGGCAAAGGTCAAGGTCGAATATCGTCACTTTCTGTTGTGACGTCACGTGAATTGTTCGATGACGTAATTGCATTCGGGCAGTCAACCCCGTCAGAAGTTGATTTGTGTAAACTTACAGTCAAATTCCTTCATTGTTTCCTTTTTCCTTTCAACACAAATTCTATGTATTTTAGCAATAATAACGGTAACGCTATTTTTGAGGGCATTATCATTTGCAGAAACCCTCGGTCTTTTTCAACTGCCCTCCTTCGTCGGGCAGTTAATGGAAGACCTCGGGTTTCTGCAAATGATAATGCCCTCAAAAATAGCATTACCCTTATAACAGTGGCCCACTCATTTCTGATAACGTGCGGGCGTTTTAATGATAATTCTATCCATTTTAGCTATAAATAGAGGATATTATATAAGTGCCCATGTCATGCTATGTTTACGACACGAGTGCCTAAATGTTGGTATTTCCCGAGCAAGAGCGAGGGATATACCGATGTTTAGGCACGAGTGTCGTACACATAGTATGATATGGGCACGAATATAATATTCTGCTTATTACCGAAGTCGTCAAATTGAAAATAAACCCAAATCTACTTCCAAACATAGACTGGCTACCCGCCGTCGCCGTATGTAGACCGCAACGTCACAGAAGAAACGTGACGTCATAGCATTGTACATGACGTCATGTCCCCATGACAAAGTGATATTTTGCCCAAGGGCATCGTATGAAAAATATGAACCCCGATATTTTCGTCCTCGTAGGTAATAACGTTTGATCTCACACAAACGGAATACAGTTTTGGATGATAAATTCCTGTGCACTAGTTCTAGCACGGAATTCCTACGGACATGTGTGTTCGGGAAAATCCTGACGCTGATAAATATTGTTAAACCTCGTGTATTCGGACAGATTAAAGAATCTTAGATGCTCTGTAATGTTTCTTTTCATGACGTAAAGATGTCACCAACAGTAATCAGAAAGACATCCCAGTGTCACTGCACATGACCACCATAACAACCAACACGCGTCATTGGTGTGTTTGTTTGTTTTTAGTTTAATGCTGCATTAAGCACTATCCCTGAAAAATAACTGAACGTGGACCAGACAATCCAGTGACTGACACCCATCTAAGCAAGTAAGACACGATGGCATGTATCTACCAGGTCAACGAGCCTGGCCACGCAATCCCTTCGTTGACTCTGTTGCTGAAAATCAGTTCTAACCCTGAAACCAATCGAATCTTCCCTAACCCAAGAAATAAAAACCTTTTTATTAATTTGCCCATGACAAAGACGGGGTGTTTATAGAATAAAATATGATTTTAGCACATTCAGATATTACACAATAACAACATAACACAGTTTTGTAACAAAGTATAGTATGAATTTTAGCAAAGGCATATAAAGTAAAAGGTATACAGTAGAACCATCCCAGTCTTCCAGACATAGGACATGTTTAACAGCGGTGTTCTCATTCATTGCCGACCTACATCTGGAACAACAGTGTTGGATTCCGCCTCTAATGTGTTATCTGACTACGTTGTGTCTACAGCGAGGGGTCAGACTGATAGTATATGTGGTGTTGGAGAGACATGCACTGGTTGACAGCCGTCTGTTGAATCTAATCAATTCATACCCCGATCTTCACATTTCGCATTGTTGCTGAAGGCTAGTTCTCATCCGGTACTTTAAGGTGTTGATACCAATTATGGTATTGCATTGATCAATTTGGTTTACTGTCTTTCCGTGAGTGAGGGAAGGTTGTTTTGCACCTCACTCATCATTATTCCAGCTTATTACCAAGACGTATAAAGTCTGAACAGGCAACCAAGTGTCTGAAACCTCGAGCAGGACAGTCGGGACAAGATGTCACACACAGTGTCCGATCCTGACCAACCGATCCAAGTCATGGGAAAGTCACGAAAAATCTACATCTCTGAGATGTTACTCTTTTCCGGAATCCCCACGTATCAGCTCTCTAAGGAGACGAGGGGCGGTGGGGTAGCCTAGTGGTTAAAGTGTTCGCTCATCACAGACCCGGGTTCGATTCCCCACATGGTTACAATGTGTGAAGCCCATTTCTGGGGTCCCCCTGTCACCCGCCGTGATATTGCTAGAATATTGCTAAAAGCGGTGTAAAACTCAACTTACTCACTCACTCAATCACTCTAAGGAGACGACTATAACAAAACATATGCTTTAACAGTTGTACGCATGAAGTAGATCGGATTGGGGTGCAAGTTAACTTCAGACACTCGAGGAATAAGTTTACCAAGCAAAATGCTCCGGTCACTCAATAACGAAAATAAATAAAGAAGCAAGAAAAGATATAAAGGAATTGTATAGATGTTATCGTTGAATGTAAATACACTTTATATAGTTCATTTTGCCTTACATAACAAATTATAAATCAAAAGAAACTGCACAGTGAATGCGAAAAGCTTGGACCCGTGAAGACCCTTGTAAGAATTGGTCTTCAGCAGCCAATGCTTGTCGTAAGAGGCGACTGATGGGATCGGGTGGTCAGACTCGCTGACCTGGTTGATGCATGTTATTGTATCTCAGTTGCGTAGATCGATGCTCATGCTAACAATCACATGATTTATTATTATTATTATTAGAATATATTTATAGTATATTTCTGTTTTTCTTAATTATTTAACAGACCGTCGGCATAGATGAAATATTGCTGATTGCGGCGACAACATACAATAACATGAAGCATGAACATAAAAGGATTAT